GATATCATCTGATATACGTCTCCGCACTGGTCCTCGTCCTCTTCCACGTCCTCTTCCTCATCCGACTCCTCTCTCTCTTTGTCCTCCTCTTACTCTGACTCTCATTGCCTCCATGCTTGCACAGTTCTGAATAAATGGCTTACCTGAGGCCTATTTGTAGTGCTAAGGCTCAGACTGATTGGTGTTCTGTTTTCTGTGCAAGTGTTTTCAGGGTGTGTATGTAAGTGCATACAATTGCCAGATGAGTTTTTGCATTTTGAACAGAGTGTTTTCCCAATGAAAACAGGTGATTTAGTTTTTTGAACAAAGTGTCTAATGTAAGAAAACGTGTGTAGTGTTTCGCAATAAGTGTGTTACAGAATTGAGAACAAAGTGCAAAGTTGACACTGTGTTTAAGGTATGGTTACACTGTGTTTAAGCTATTGTTACACTGTGTTTAAGGTATGGTTACACTGTGTTTAAGCTATGGTTACACTGTGTTTAAGCTATGGTTACACTGTGTTTAAGGTATGGTTACATTGTGTTTAAGGTATGGTTACACTGTGTTTAAGGTATGGTTACACTGTGTTTAAGGTATGGTTACATTGTGTTTAAGGTATGGTTTACACTGTGTTTAAGCTATGGTTACACTGTGTTTTAAGCTATGGTTACACTGTGTTTAAGGTATGGTTTTACACTGTGTTTAAGCTATGGTTACACTGTGTTTAAGGTATGGTTTCACTTTTTTTAAGCATGGTTCCTGTGTTTAAGGGATGGTTTTCACTGTGTTTAACTATGGTTCCTGTGTTTAAAAGGGAGGGGTTCACTGTTTTAAGGGTTTGGGTTAAAGTGTTTAAGGGATGGTTACACTGGTTTAAGCTATGGTTACCTGTTTTTAAAGGGATGGTTACACTGTTTTAAGGTTGGTTACATTTTGTTTAAGGTATGGTTCACTTGTTTAACTATGGTTACACTGTTTTAAGCTATGTTTCATTGTGTTTTAAGGGGATGGTTCCTTTTTTAAAGGGATGGTTCACTGGTTTAAGGATGGTTACATGTGTTTAAACATGGTTACATTGTTTTAAGGGGATGGTTTTCCTGTGTTTAAGGTTGGGGTTTCCCGGTTTAAAGGGAGGTTACCGTGTTTTAAACTTGGTTTTCCGTGTTTAAAATATGGTTTACACTGGGGTTTAAGCTATGGTTTTCACTGTTTTAAGTATGGTTACATTTGTTTTAAGTATGGTTTACACTGTGTTTAAGGTATGGTTACACTGTGTTTAAGGTATGGTTACACTGTGTTTAAGCTATGGTTACACTGTGTTTAAGCTATGGTTACACTGTGTTTAAGGTATGGTTACACTGTGTTTAAGGTATGGTTACACTGTGTTTAAGCTATGGTTACACTGTGTTTAAGGTATGGTTACACTGTGTTTAAGCTATGGTTACCTGTGTTTAAGCTATGGTTACACTGTGTTTAAGCTATGGTTACACTGTGTTTAAGCTATGGTTACACTGTGTTTAGCTATGGTTACACTGTGTGTAAGGTATGGTTACACTGTGTTTAAGGTATGCTACAAGGAGTTTAGGTATTGAGGCTTTGGTCAAGCATTTGGTTTTAGTGTGGAAGCAATGGGCAAAAACTCTAAGAATGTATTAACATGTTGCTTTAAAGATGAAACAGGGATTTCTGCTGGATTCCTTTAATTAGCCTGCTGTGATGCGTCTTCTAGCACTCCTCCCTCTCTCTCCCTCTGCTGGATTCCCTTTTAAAACCTGCTGGGATGCTCTTCTAGCACTCCTCCCCTCTCTCCTCTGCTGGATTCCTTTAATTACCTCTTGAGCGTCTTTTAGCCTCCCTCCCCCTCTCTCCCCTGCTGGTTCCTTTAAAAAGCCGCTGGATGCGTCTTCTAGCCTCCTCCCTCTCTTCTCTCCCTCTGCTGGATTCCTTAATTGCCTCTGTATCGCTTCTGCACTCCCCTCTCTCCCCCCCTCTGCTGGGTTCCTTTAATTACCCCCCTGTTTCTCTTTTAGCCTCCCCCCCTCTCCCCCTCGGGTGGATTCCTTTAAATTTGCCCCTTGGGTCTTCTAACACTCCTCCCTCCTCCCCTCTGCTGGATTTTCCTTTTTTACCTGCTTTATGCTCTTCTAGCACTCCTCCCCTCTCCCCCTGCTGGATTCCTTTAATTAGCCTGCTGTTTCGTCTTCTGCACCCTCCCTCTGCTGGATTCCTTTATTTCCTGCTGTATGCGTCTTCTAGCACTCCTCCCTCCTCTCCCTCTCTGGATTCCTTTTAAAACCGCTGTGTGCGTCTCTACACCCTCCCTCCCTTTTCCCCCCCTGCGGATTCCTTTAAATTTGCCGCGTGGGGGGTGCGTCTTCTACCTCCTCCCTCTCTCTCCCTCTGCTGGATTCCTTTAATTAGCCTGCTGTGATGCGTCTTCTAGCACTCCTCCCTCTCTCTCCCTCTGCTGGATTCCTTTAATTAGCCTGCTGTGATGCGTCTTCTAGCACTCCTCCCTCTCTCCCTCTGCTGGATTCCTTTAATTAGCCTGCTGTGATGCGTCTTCTAGCACTCCTCCCTCTCTCTCCCTCTGCTGGATTCCTTTAATTAGCCTGCTGTGATGCGTCTTCTAGCACTCCTCCCTCTGCTGGATTCCTTTAATTAGCCTGCTGTGATGCGTCTTCTAGCACTCCTCCCTCTCTCTCCCTCTGCTGGTTTCCCTTTTAATTAGCCTGCTGTGATGCGTCTTCTAGCACTCCTCCCTCTCTCTCCCTCTGCTGGATTCCTTTAATTAGCCTGCTGTGATGCGTCTTCTAGCACTCCTCCCTCTCTCTCCCTCTGCTGGATTCCTTTAATTAGCCTGCTGTGATGCGTCTTCTAGCACTCCTCCCTCTCTCTCCCTCTGCTGGATTCCTTTAATTAGCCTGCTGTGATGCGTCTTCTAGCACTCCTCCCTCTCTCTCCCTCTGCTGGATTCCTTTAATTAGCCTGCTGTGATGCGTCTTCTAGCACTCCTCCCTCTCTCTCCCTCTGCTGGATTCCTTTAATTAGCCTGCTGTGATGCGTCTTCTAGCACTCCTCCCTCTCTCTCCCTCTGCTGGATTCCTTTAATGGAAACATTTGTGTTGTTGTGATACTATGTGATGTTCAAATTCGTGTGTGTGTGTGAGAATGAATTAATGGTCCTGTGTCGGCTCATTTGGTAGAGCATGACACTTGCAACGCCAGGCTTGTGGGTTCGATTCCCACGGGGGACCAGTACCAACAAATATTCAAATGATGCACTCACTACTGTAAGTCTCTCTGGATCAGAGCGTCTGCTAAATGACTCACTACTGTAGTGGCTCTGGATAAGAGCGTCTGCTAAATGACTCACTACTGTAAGTCTCTCTGGATCAGAGCGTCTGCTAAATGACTCACTACTGTAGTGGCTCTGGATAAGAGTGTCTGCTAAATGACTCACTACTGTAGTGGCTCTGGATAAGAGCGTCTGCTAAATGACTCACTACTGTAAGTCTCTCTGGATAAGAGCGTCTGCTAAATGACTCACTACTGTAGTGGCTCTGGATCAGAGCGTCTGCTAAATGACTCACTACTGTAGTCTCTCTGGATAAGAGTGTCTGCTAAATGACTCACTACTGTAGTCTCTCTGGATAAGAGCGTCTGCTAAATGACTCACTACTGTAGTCTCTCTGGATAAGAGCGTCTGCTAAATGACTCACTACTGTAGTGACTCTGGATAAGAGTGTCTGCTAAATGACTCACTACTGTAGTGACTCTGGATAAGAGCGTCTGCTAAATGACTCACTACTGTAGTGACTCTGGATAAGAGAGTCTGCTAAATGAGTCACTACTGTAGTCTCTCTGGATAAGAGCGTCTGCTAAATGACTCACTACTGTAGAGTCTCTGGATAAGAGAGTCTGATAAATGAGTCAAATGTACGTCTTCTTCTAACCGTCCTCCCTGTCTCTCCTCTAGTCATCAGAGCTGGATGACATCCTAGATGAGCTGCAGTGTGTCCAGCCCCAGCTGTTCTGTGAGCCGCGGCCCGTCTCCCTACCCTCCTCCCTGGACAAACAGACCATCATCAACGACATATTGCACATCACCCAGGAAACCAGCCCTGGCAACCCCAACGCCATGGCAACACAGCAGCAACAGCCAGGCATGGGTCCAGGCAGTGAGTGGCTCACACACACATCGGAGACACACACACACACACATCGGAGACACACACACACACACATCGGAGACACACACACACACACATCGGAGACACACACACACACAAAGGGAGACGCACGCACACATTACAGATACACACATGTAAACATGCACACACACACATACAATGCACGCGCCCACAAACACACATCAGACAGGCACATACAAAGACATTACATAACACGGACCCATACAAAACACACAGACAGAAACACACACATTACAGGACTCATTTCACACTCACTCACAGAGACATACACAAAACGCAGCACTCATAAACAGCTGTTCAGTGAATGTGAGTAGTCAGTACATCAGCATCTTTGTGTGCAAGACATCATGTAGAGGATGTTACAGTGTAGAGGATGTTACAGTGTAGAGGATGTTACAGTGTAGAGGATGTTACAGTGTAGAGGATGTTACAGTGTAGATTATTAGCTTATCTTATTCATCTTAAATTTGTCACCACACCTGCACAATCCTTAACTCTTCTCCTCCCTCTCCCTCTCTCTCTCCTCTCTCTCTCTCTCTCTCTCTCTCTCTCTCTCTCTCTCTCTCTGTCTCTCTCTCTCTCTCTCTCTGTCTCTCTCTCTGTCTCTGTCTCTCCCTCTCTCTCTCTCTCCCTCTCCCTCTCTGTCTCTCTCTCTCTCTCTCTCAACTCTCTCTTTTTGTCTCTCTCTCTCTCTCTCCCCCCCCCCCCCCCCCCCCCCCCCCCCAGACTACGGAGGTCAGAGGGGGCCTGTAGTCCTGGGGCCAGGTAGGGGTCTACCTATGAGGAGTGTATCCCTGGATATGAACATGTCAGGGGGCCAGCCCCCATTAGGGCCCCCCCAGGGCCAGTACCCCCCCATGAGGACCCCCAGCCCCTACACACTACAGCAGCAGCAAGGCATCCTGGGAAACCACGCCGCCATGATGTCCAACCAGGCCAACCTCGCAGGTGGGTAGAGACGCCAGAGCAAAGGCTTACACTTGATTTGTAAATACTCAAGCTATCAACAAACATTTACATTTTAGTCATTTAGCAGACGCTCTTGACCCTTGACCTCTTCATGCTGTAGTAAGGGGTTTCCCTTGTCAGGAGTCATCAAAGTCAGCACTCAAAGAAACAAACTCAACGGAAAACACTCACTGCCTCTTTTGATGAGAAGATAAGCTATCATTTGGCACGTCAGCTTTTCTTCTCTCTCTCTGTGGGGGGCCGATGACACGTCACACTGATGACATGTCATATTGAGTCACTTCCTGTTTCTGTGCATGAAGTGGAGGGAGTCGGGGTCACCCACACAGACACACACACAGCCAGCTCTTCTCCTCTCACTTTCACTCTGACTCACAGACGGGCCCACAGCAATGAAAACAACCTCTGAGCCTCTGAGCCTTGGCTGTTTGGCACTTTGACAAACAGATGTTTGCAGATTGGAGAAGTGTAAACAAAATGGTGGTGACTTCTGTTATATTTCACCCCTCACTTGTTCCCTCTGACTCCTCATCACACCTTCACACACTCACATGATCTCTCCCTCCCTCTCTCTCCTCCATCTACTCTCCCCCTCTCTCTCTCTCCCTCCCTCTCTCTCCTCCATCTATCTCCCCCTCTCTCTCTCTCCCCTCTCTCTCTCTCTCTCTCTCTCCCCCTCTCTCTCTCTCCCTCTCTCTCTCTCTCTCTCTCTCTCTCTCTCTCCTCCATCTATCTCCCCCTCTCTATCTCCCCCTCTCTCTCTCTCCCTCCCTCTCTCTCCTCCATCTATCTCCCCCTCTCTCTCCTCCATCTATCTCCCCCCCTCTCTCTCTCTCCCTCCCTCCAACCACCTCTCGCTCCCCCCCCCCCCCCCCCCAGGTCTAATGGGTGGTCCTCGGCAGGGTATGCAGCAGCAGCAGGAAGAGGGGGGTTGGGGTCCTGGGGGCCCGGGTCAGAGCGGTTCAGCCTCGGTCCCTCCTCCAGGGGCCCCAGGTCAGCAGGGGACGATGCACAGCCGTATGGGGCCCAGCCCTGGAGGCCCTGGGGGCCCCATGAGACCCAACGGTCAACCAGGACCTGGACCCAGGCAGTTGCTGCAGTCGCAGATGATGGCCAACGGTGAGAGTCTGAATATCTAGAATGCCCAGTTCTGTGCCAGGGCTGCTCTAGAATATCTAGTTCTAATGCCCTTCCACTTCACAGATCAGTCTATCTTAACACCAAGTGATGTAACATATTGGTGTTGTCAATGGAAACCAATTTATTGAAATACATTTTCAGCATGTAGAAGTCCACAGATAGTTTTGAAAATAAAAGGTTTTGGAATCGAGGATATAGTAAAGGTACAAAGCTGACACCTGCTGGCCAGTCAGAGGAACAACACACTGACACGCTGGCTAACCAATCATCATATCTCTCTAGCAGCTCAGTCTGGTTTGGGCATGGAGTTAATAAAGTTATGTATTAGTTTGAATGTCTCTCTCTAAAGAGATGGGCGTGGGGGTTAATAAAGTTAAATTCATTTGAAAATGTCACTCTAAATAAATGGGCATGTGGTTAATAAAGTTATATTACTTTGAATTTTTCTCTCTAAAGAGATGAGCATGGGGTTAATAAAGTTATAATAATTTGAAGTTCTCTAAAGAGATGGGCATGGGGGTTAATAAAGTTATATTAATTTCAATCTCTCTCTAAAGAGATTGACATGGGGTTAATAAAGTTATATTAATTTGAATATTTCTCTCTAAAGAGATGGACATGGGGTTAATAAAGTTATACTAATTTGAAGTTCTCTAAAGAGATGGGCATGGGGGTAAATAAAGTTATATTAATTTGAATCTTTCTCTCTAAAGAGATGGACATGGGGTTAGTAAAGTTATATTAATTTGAATCTTTCTCTCTAAAGAGATGGACATGGGGTTAGTAAAGTTATATTAATTTGAATCTCTCTAAAGAGATGTGCATGGGTTTAATAAAGTTATAATAATTTGAAGTTCTCTAAAGAGATGGGCATGGGGGTTAATAAAGTTATATTAATTTGAATCTTTCTCTCTAAAGAGATGGACATGGGGGTTAATAAAGAACATCTCGTTCCAAAATCACGGCCATTAATATGGAGTTGGTCCCCTCTTTGCTACTATAACAGCCTCCACTCTTCTGGAAAGGCTTTCCACTAGACGTTGGAACATTGCTGCGGGGACTTGCTTCCATTCAGCCACAAGAGCATTAGTGAGGTCGGGCACTGATATTGGGCGATTAGGCCTGGCTCGCAGTCGGCGTTCCAATTCATCCCAAAGGTGTTAGAGGTCATGGCTCTGTGCAATCCAGTCAAGTTCTTCCACACCGATCTCGACAAACCATATCTGTATGAACCTCGCTTTGTGCACGGGGGCATTGTCATGCTGAAACAGGAAAGGGCCTTCCCCAAACTGTTGCCACATATTTGGAAGCACAGAATCGGCTAGAATGTAATTGTATGCTGTAGAGTTAAGATTTCCCTTCACTGGAACTAAGGCGCCTAGACCGAACCGTGAAAAACAGCCCCAGACCATTATTCCTCCTCCACCAAACTTTACAGTTGGCACTATGCATTGGGGCAGGTAGCGTTCTCCTGGCATCCGCCAAACCCAGATTCGTCTGTTGGACTGCCAGATGGTGAAGCGTGATTTATCACTCTAGAGAACTCGTTTCCACTGCTCCAGAGTTAAATGGCGGCGAGCTTTATACCACTCCAGCCGATGCTTGGAATTGCGCATGGTGATCTTAGGTGATCTTAGGCTGCTCGGCCATGGAAAACCCTTTCATTAAGCTCCTGACGAACAGTTATTGTGCTGATGTTGCTTCCAGAGGCAGTTTGGAACTCAGTAGTGAGTGTTGCAACCGAGGAAAGATGATTTGTATGTGCTTCAGCACACGCCGGTCCCGTTCTGTGAGCTTGTGTGGCCTACCACTTCGCGGCTGAGCCGATGTTGCTCCTAGACGTTTCCACTTCACAATAACAGCACTTACAGTTGACTGGGGCAGCTCTAGCAGGGCAGAAATTTGACGAACTGACTTGTTGGAAAGGTGGCATCCTATGACGGTGCCACGTTGAAAGTCACTGAGCTCTTCAGTAAGGCCATTCTACTGCCAATGTTTGTCTATGGAGATTGCATGGCTGTGTGCTCGATTTTATACACCTGTCAGCAACGGGTGTGGCTGAAATAGCCCAATCCACTCATTTGAAGGGGTGTCCACATACTTTTGTGTATATTAATTTGAATCTCTCTAACATAAATGGGCATGCGGTTTAATAAAGTTATATTAATTTGAATCTCTCTCTCATTAAAGAGATGGGCATGGGGTTAATAAAGTTATATTATTTGAATCTCTCTCTCTTTAAATAGATGGGCATGAGGTTAATAAAGTTATATTATTTGAATCTCTCTCTCTTTAAATAGATGGGCATGGGGTTAATAAAGTTATATTATTTGAATCTCTCTCTCTTTAAAGAGATGGGCATGGGGTTAATAAAGTTATATTATTTGGATCTCTCTCTCTTTAAAGATGGGCATGGGTTAATAAAGTTATATTATTTGAATCTCTCTCTCTTTAAAGAGATGGGCATGGGGTTAATAAAGTTATATTATTTGAATATCTCTCTCTTTTTAAAGAGATGGGCATGGGGTTAATAAAGTTATATTATTTGAATCTCTCTCTCTTTTTAAAGAGATGGGCATGCGGGCACACCAGTTCACCCAGCAACAGGCTCCACCCAATCAGACGGCTCCATGGCCAGACAGCATGATGCCCATTGAGCAGACACCCTTCAACCAGAACAGGTAAACATCCCTCAGTACATACACTACTTGACACTACTTGACACTACCTTACACTGGCCTCTGCAGTGCTATCACTACTTGCGGTACACTGACCTCTGTCCTACTACAGCTACTTTACCAGAAGCTCTCACACATTCAACTCCAAAACTGATGTCTGTTGGCGCAAGAGCAACTCTTCTAGTTCTGTGTCACTTGCACTAAGCAAATACCAAATGACCAACCACTTTAAAAACGGTTTGGATCAGTCAACAACAGCACAGAGAAGTGGTCAAAATAACTTATGGTCATTTAACCTTCTCCCCTACCCCACCCTCCCTACCTCCCTTCTGTCCCTCCCCCCTTCTCTCCCTCTACCCCTCCCTCCCTTCTCTCCCTCCCCCCTTCTCTCCCTCCCCCCTTATCTCCCTCCCTCCCTCCCCCTTCTCTCCATCCCTCCCTCCCCCTTCTCTCCCTCCCTTCTCTCCCTCCCCCCCCTTCTCTCCCTCCCCCCCTTATCTCCCTCCCTCCCTCCCCCTTCTCTCCATCCCTCCCTCCCCCTTCTCCTCCCTCCCTTCTCTCCCTCCCCCCTTCTTCCTCCCTCCCCCTTCTCTCCCTCCCTCCCCCTTCTCTCCTCCCTCCCCCTTCTCTAACCTCTCCCCCCCTTCTCTCCCTCTACCCCCTCCCTCCCTTCTCTCCCTCTAACCCCCCTCCCTCCCTTCTCTCCCTCACTCCCCTTCTCTCCCTCCCCCCCCGCTTCTCTCCCTCTCCCCCTCCCCTCTCCCTCTCCCTCTCCCTCTCCCCTCCTCTCTCCCTCCCCCTCCCTCTCTCCCTCTCCTCTCTCCCTCTCCCTCTCCTCTCTCCCTCTCCCTCTCCCTCTCTCTCCTCCTCTCTCCCTCTCTCCCCCCCCTCTCCTCTCTCCCTCCTCCCTCGCCTCTCTCCCTCCCCCTCCCTCTCTCCCTCCCCCTCTCCACTCTCCCCTCCTCTCCTCTCCTCTCTCCGCACCTCTCCCTCTCCCTCCCCCTCTCCTCTCCCCTCCTCTCATCCTCTCCCTCCCCCTTCTCCTCCCCCTCTCCCTCTCCCTCTCCCCCTCCCTCTCCCTCTCCCCTCCCTCTCCCTTCTCGCCCTCTCCCTCTCCCTCTCCTCTCGCCTCCCTCTCCCTCCCCCTCCCGTCTCCCTCTCCTCTCTCCCCTCCTCCTCCTCCCCTCTCCCCGTCCCCTCCCCCTCTCCCGCACCCCTCCCCCCCCCGCCTCTCCCACGCTCGTCCCTGCTCACTCTCACTCTCCCTCCCCCTCTCCTCTCTCCCTCCCCTCTCCAGGTCTGTGTATGCGCCCCAGCAGCAGCAGCAGGTGTTGCTGGGGGGTCCTGGTGATGGGGGTCCTGGTGATGGGGGTCCTGGTGATGAGGGGGGCCCTGATGTCCCAGCTCTACACCGTGCTGAAGGACTCTGATGGCCTGGAGGAGATAGACAGAGCCCTGGGGATACCTAATCTGATGGGACTGGTACGATTCAGCAATCATATTAACATCCCTCTATCCTTCTCTCTCTTACCAACTCTGTGACAGATCAGTCCATTCCTCCATCTCTGATCCCTCTCTCTGGGGACACTCACCTGTCACTAGAGGTGTCGTTCTTTACCTCATCTAGGCCTATACAGTCTATTTCTCCTCCTCTCTGTCTGTCTCTCCTCTATCTCTGTCTCTCCTCTATCTCTGTCTCTCCTCTATCTCTGTCTCTGTCTCTCCTCTATCTCTGTCTGTCTCTCCTCTGTCTCTCCTCTGTCTCTCCTCTGTCTCTGTCTCTCCTCTATCTCTCTCTGTCTCTCCTCTATCTCTCTCTCTGTCTCTCCTCTATCTCTCTCTCTGTCTCTCCTCTGTCTCTGTCTCTCCTCTGTCTCTGTCTCTCCTCTGTCTCTGTCTCTGTCTCTCCTCTGTCTCTGTCTCTCCTCTGTCTCTGTCTCTCCTCTGTCTCTGTCTCTGTCTCTCCTCTGTCTCTGTCTCTGTCTCTGTCTCTCCTCTGTCTCTGTCTCTCCTCTGTCTCTGTCTCTCCTCTGTCTCTCCTCCCATAGGTGGTGCGTGAGTTTCAAGTTTGGGGAAGCAATTTTTTCACCAAGAAAATCCCCTTTATGATAAAGCTACTAGCAGAATCTTTAATGCAATACCACAAAAATGACAGGGTACTCTGCTGGGAAAAAACAACCTTGTCTTGAATGCAACCATATAATCTCAGCCTGCGAAAAGGAGGAGCACAGATTGTACAAGATGATCTAGCCAGAAGGAGGAAATTACATAATCATACTCTCTGGTGTAGTATTTTGAATTATGTTATTTCATTTTGTACAGACATGAGTAATGATATCATTTGGGGAGGACGCACTATTTTTGTCTGCACCAGTGGCGGTCAGTGCCGTTTAAGATGAGGGAGGACGACAACAAACAAATCTCATGAGCATGGCCTTATTTCTATTACAGCATATTGGATCTGTCATTCATATTCCATTCATCCAGCTCAATGTAACATCGATAGGTTTAGGCTACTACATGATACTAAAATGTTCCCTATATCCATCATGAGTTTGCTACAACCTAGCCTATGAATTAAAGTTTACTACGTACAGTGAGGGAAAAAAGTATTTGATCCCCTGCTGATTTTGTACGTTTGCCCACTGACAAAGACATGATCAGTCTATAATTTTAATGGTAGGTTTATTTGAACAGTGAGAGACAGAATAACAACAAAAAAATCCAGAAAAATGCATGTCAAAAATTTTAGAAATTGATTTACATTTTAATGAGGGAAATAAGTATTTGACCCCTCTGCAAAACATGACTTAGTACTTGGTGGCAAAACCCTTGTTGGCAATCACAGAGGTCAGACGTTTCTTGTAGTTGGCCACCAGGTTTGCACACATCTCAGAAGGGATTTTGTCCCACTCCTCTTTGCAGATCTTCTCCAAGTCATTGAGGTTTCGAGGCTGACGTTTGGCAACTCGAACCTTCAGCTCCCTCCACAGATTTTCTATGGGATTAAGGTCTGGAGACTGGCTAGGCCACTCCAGGACCTTAATGTGCTTCTTCTTGAGCCACTCCTTTGTTGCCTTGGCCGTGTGTTTTGGGTCATTGTCATGCTGGAATACCCATCCACAACCCATTTTCAATGCCCTGGCTGAGGGAAGGAGGTTCTCACCCAAGATTTGACGGTACATGGCCCCGTCCATCGTCCCTTTGATGCACGAGGCGAGATCTTGCATGGAGCCCCAGGCCGAGGGAGATTGACAGTTCTTTTGTGTTTCTTCCATTTGAGAATAATCGCACCAACTGTTGTCACCTTCTCACCAAGCTGCTTGGCGATGGTCTTGTAGCCCATTCCAGCCTTGTGTAGGTCTACAATCTTGTCCCTGACATCCTTGGAGAGCTCTTTGGTCTTGACCATGGTGGAGAGTTTGGAATCTGATTGATTGATTGCTTCTGTGGACAGGTGTCTTTTATACAGGTAACAAGCTGAGATTAGGAGCACTCCCTTTAAGAGTGTTAAAATTGTGTTTACTTGATAGCTACCGATACATAACTAGCTACCTAGAATAAAATGTGTTAAAGATTTTAAAAAAAGTCATTAGAAGTCTCAGCTCGTTACCTGTATAAAAGACACCTGGGAGAGGGGGGTCAAATACTTATTTCCCTCATTAAAATGCAAATCAATTTATAACATTTTTGACATGCGTTTTTCTGTTTTTTGTTGTTGTTATTCTGTCTCTTACTGTTCAAATAAACCTACCATTAAAATTATAGACTGATCATTTCTTTGTCAGTGGGCAAACGTACAAAATCAGCAGAGGATCAAATACTTTTTTTCCCTCACTGTAGGTGCACACAGGTCAAGAGACAAATTTGATGTGACAGACAGTGACATTCAATACCGCCTTGAGCAACTCTTGCCTGCATCTAGCTGATATTGGGTGTAATCATGAGTCCAACAGTTGCAAACAATAGTTTCTATTGGACAAATGCAGGTGTGTTTATCCCAGTTTTGTTCCGTTTGCTTCTGTTTAAGAAACTTTTTTCAACAGAATGGGGTGGAATGAATACACCCCGATCACGCGTAAACACAGTTCACAGTTTCATAGCAGCCACGTTATCCTCCTTCTCACATATTCGTTATGCGCTCTCCTCCTTTCACCTTTTCCCTTCGCTTATGGACTTCAATGCACATCACATCAGCTGTATGTGACCAGGCGAAAAAAAACTTTCCAAGCCAAACCATATTAAACCTGCTACACAACACCTACGTCGTTGTCACCATATTACCTAAAGCAACGTCATAGTCAACATAGCTCTATTAGCTAACGCGTTAGTAAACCCACTACAATCATGCAGTAACTTTACAGTGTATAGTCAGTTAGCAGTTTAGCAGTTACACCGGCGGCCCCCGGTGGCAATAAAATTAGTAAAACCAAAA